TATTCCTGCTGACTGAAAAAGTGTGTTTGCTTGATAAGCTTCCAGTTTTTGCTTTTTTCCTAGAAAAGTGTGAAACCATGCAGTTGATCTGCAATTCAGCTTTACATTCTTTTTTCAACTGCCCCCATCTCAGTTGCTTGCATTTGGTTTCTAGGTTCATTTCCCTTCCTTGTTCTTATACTTCCATTATGATACCAGGAAACATGCCACCTCTAAGTATGGGCCAAATGTGGCTTTACCTGTCACTCTCCAAAGTCTGCTGGGGGCTGTCAGGAGCAGGGATGATGCCTAAGGGCTGTCACTTCTTCACATCCACCTAGGTTGGCTTCTGAGACAAAAGAGCTTAAACCGCTGAAATTAAAGTTATTTGTTGTCAGTTCCACTTCCTCTTCCTGCCATTCCTCCTCTGCCTGCAAGTATATGTGTCTCAAGAGAAAGTAATTTGCTTGTACAGAAGACTGCCAGTGGCCTTTTTCCCATTTTGATACCTAGCTCCTGCACACACCTGAAATCTTATCATACGTCCTGCAAGCTTATAACTTGGGCATACTGGCATTGCTTTATTGATTGGCGCATGAGGAAATATGAATGTGTTTGTGTTTAATGTACATCTTGTAGACTGGATTGTGGTCTGTCTACATCAGGAGGAGGGAGTGTATGTTCAACCAGACTCATCTTGGATCGAAGCACCCTGTGCCTGTGGTAGTAAAGGATTGAATCTATCCTTTAGGTCAGCTTCTGTCAGTCACTACAGGGCTATGTGAAGAAGCATAGCTCCCATAGCATGGCAGCAGAAAGGGCTGTGATCTGTTGATCTGTTGATAATGTCTGCCCTGCTCATGGGAGCAGGGTGCAGCGTTCCTTGAATCCTGTGTCTGGCAATACTTCCCAGGTTGCTTAACACTATTGGCGCATCTGAAAAGAACCACAGGACTAGGGAAATTTTAAGTAGATCAAGTTTTATTTCCATGGTAGAAACAGGGCCCCTCCCTTTGCAAAAGGATTGGAGAATAGAGGCTTCACAGCTGTAATCCAGACACCTTGACCACAGGCTCGGGATCCAATTAGTGAAAATGCCTTTCACCAGTTTTTCTAGGCATGATAGCCTGCAGAGGACTATAGCCATGAGTTCATGGCGTGTGATATTTTCCTGATCAGAGTAACTCCAGGGCTCCACGTCCACAATGGCCTCATTCAGTGTTTCCCAGTGCCCCAGGGATCTACAGCAAGTAAATTAGTGCATTCTATGTCACGATGCACCTACAGCATTGGACATAAAAGCCACAGCGCATAACTCTGCATAATAAAGGATATTTTTATTTTAGCATGAATGATCAAAACTTTGCCTTGTAGCAAGGAGCCTGGGCACACTGAATACAGCTCATGTAGCGTCTTCTGACTCTTCTGTCACGAAGCAGTTAGCCTGACTGCCCCACGGGGGAGGAAGAAGACCACAAGTTCCTATATAAATATTTTCATTGCTCTTAACTTTTAATGACTTGAAACTGCAGTTACTGATTTATTTTCACTTCTTCCTGTGTGTCATTGAAGAGAAGAGAGTAAGCAAGACCTGTATAGAAACGTTACTTACCTCCAAATGTCGAATGCACCAAGTGGTGACAGTGCTGTCTTTTCTATAAAAGAGGATTGTTTTCTCCAAAATAATTTTGATTATTTTTTAATGTATTTATTTAACTAATATTTATTAAGTGACTACTGTGTGCCAGGCACTGTTCTGGCCACGCAAGATACAGCAGTTAAAAAATTCCTGCTTTCAAGAAGCTGATGATTTTTCTTCTCTGTTACTTCATAAAATTATAAATAAGCTGCTAGTTGCTTATTATAGTATATTTCTTTTTTAAAGTGGATTTTGACAGATTGTTTTTTCTTAGTTTGGTTAAATGTAGGATCCTGCTTTCTTCAGGGTTCTGATATGGGGCTTATTTTGTTTTGCTGGAGTTGGAAGAGTAGTTTGCAATGAGCGTTCTCATTACTTCTAGGTTCTGTTTCTCTATCACAGTGCACAAGCTTCTAGAGAAAAATCAGAGCACTTCTTGTCACACTTTAAAACTGCCTGCTTCTACCTAGCATGCCTGTTCTCCTGAAGAAAGCATGCTGGGTTGTATGTTAATCACATCCATGTAAGGGAAACAGCTGTTAAACTGCTTCAAAGATGTAGATAGAAATTCTGTCCTTTGTGTAAATCAGGATTTCTTGACCTTGACACTATTAACATTTGGGGCCAGGTAACTCTTGTTTGTAGGAGGCTGTCCTGTGCATTGCAGGAAGTTTTAGCAGCAATCTTGGACTCTACCCAGTAGGTGTCAGGCGTATCCCTCCCTCTGAGTGTGACAACCCAAAATGTCTCCAGACATTGCCCAATATGTCTCTTGTAGGGGAGTGGTAAAGTTACCCCCAGCTGAGAATCACTGGTGTAAGTGATGTGAGTCTATGATTCGAGTCTCACATTCTCTAATTACAGTAGATCAGTGAAATTCCTGGGGGGGGGGGGAAAAACATCTGGGACAGAAGTGTTTTCTGTTTGGTCTTTGCCAAAATGTGGAGCGACTTTCCACCATGAAAGAGTTAATATATGAGCAAGTTATCAGTCTGATGAAGCAACATCAACAACAAATGATGAAATTCCTTTAGTACATCATGCCTTGGAAATAGCTTGCATTTCCTATTGGAAACTTGTTAAAATGATATCCATTTACCATAAGTTACAAAGCATGTTGGACACAGTATACTGTAAGTTAATCTCAAATGATTTAGGAGTAAATGTGTTCCAGATTTGGTGAGCTCAGCTCAAGCAGTAGGCGTCTCTTTTCCAAACATTTTCATTCTCAAGAACTGACATTCAATTCAGTAAGTATTTATTGAAATGTGTAATATGAGAGAGCTTTAGAACAGTCTGATACTGCTCCCATCACCCAGTCCAGCAGAAAAGCAGTGCTCAGAAGAGTGCCCAGGGAGCACTCTTCTGATGTGGCACCTCCTGCATTGGTTTGCAAGATAGTATAGAAAAGCGTGCCTTCTCCTTCGCCGCCTCAAGCCCTTCCCATCCTGTGCCAGCTGTGCCCTCCCCAGTGAATAAATGTTATTAAACATGATGTCATGTGTTTCTTATTTGATTCTTTAGTCCCAAATGGGCTGGTTTGCAGTTTTGGCAGGGACCTCCACTGGCCTGTTCTACCTGACGCCTGTCGGCTTGATGGGATATTGCAAGTCCAAAGGGGGACCATTTAACCAACTTGTATTTCTGAATCTTCACTTCTCACACACATACCAGTAGATTTTAAAATGCAAGATACACTGCTGATAAAAATCACAGGAGGGGCCTGGCACGGTGGTTCACACCTGTAATCCCAGCACTTTGGGAGGCTGAGGCGGACGGATCACCTGAGGTCAGGAGTTCAAGACCAGCCTGGGCAACATGGAGAAACCCTATCTCTACTGAAAATACAAAAAATTAGCCGGGCGTGGTGGCGGGCACCTGTAATCCCAGCTACTTGGGAGGCTGAGGCGGAGGTTGTAGTGAGCCAAGATCGCGCCACTGCACTCCAGCCTGGGCGACAGAGTGAGACTCATCTCAAAAAAAAGTCACAGGAGGGATCGGCTTTGATACAGAGATAAAGAAAGGGTAAAAGAGAAACATAATAGGCTCCAGAATCTTCACTCATCTGGTTACTATTTATTGTTCCAGGCACTGGCAGTGTAACTATGATGAAAACAGACAGTGTCCCGCTTTCCTGGAACTTGCAGTCCATTGGGCAATGAGACAAGTGGACAGGCCCTGTTATAATATGGTGCCAGGGGTGCCAGAAGGAGGGAGATGGGGATGCCATGGGAGCGCTTGGGAAAGCAGCCCAGCCTGGAAGGGCAGGAAGGTCAGAGAACGCCTTGCAGAGGAAGCGGTGCCTTATTAACTAGGACATGAAGGATACATGGCATATCAAAGAGGAAGGGGAAAAAGTGTTCAAGGCTATGTTCCGAGGCCCGAAGCGGGTGGAGGAATGGAGTCTCTGAGGATCGGAAAAGTTGGGCATGTTTGAATAGGAGAGCTCAGACAGGAAGAGTGGGAAGTAAACAAGAAGGAGGAAATGAGGATGCTTCTCAGGATGCTGACTGGAGCAACTGGGTCACTGGCAGTCCCATTTACTGAGATGAGAAGCCTGGGAGAAGTGGGTTTGAGGAGGGTGGGGTGGCAACAACTCAAGTTTTTAATCCGCCACTAACTCCATAACATAGGAATGATTTTTTTTTTTAATGTCTTTGAAGGATGTCAAAAGTTAATGGAAATTTGAAAAGTTAATTAGCAGCTGTAAGTAATTTCGTTACTGTAGGCTATCGTGACATCCTGTAAATGTACTCGGACCTCTTAGGTTCTGCCGATTTTATTTTTCATCCAGTAACTAGTTCTTAGTTTTGATACTTAGCATCATCTTAGTGCTTAAAATTGACCAGTTTTGTGCCTGAAGATTAGGTATCTGTGAGTGAAGCAGTCTAGTGACTTGATTGAAGGTTGTATTCTGGCTTATCCAACAGTCCTGCGCCCTCTTCCTTAAATTTCCTGTGCCCTGATGGGAGTTTTTATTCTAATGTTGCATAGACTCATTCTACAGAGCATATATATATATTTTTTTAGATGGCTAAAGAAAGGCAGAATTGGTAAGTATGATTGGACAGTCTGTAGGCAGGTGTATGCTGTTACAGAATTTTAAGAGGTACAGGCCTCAGTCGAGGAAAGTTGCTGCATGGTGAACATTGTGCTCTTTGATGATGCTGTCATCCAGAACGTATGGGGAACAAATGTGATTGTGGGGTCAAGGAACTGAGCTTCCTCCTAACCATCCCCCCAGCCACTGCCTTTCCTCATGCCCCTCATAGGCCTGAAATAGCCAACAGTGAGCCTTGTCAATTACTCCTCGTTAACTGGAGAGCAACCCAGCAACTAGGGAGCATCCCAGCTTACATGACCCCTTTTTTGTCTCTGGCAGGAATTTAGATAATGGGCTGTGTGCAATGTAAGGATAAAGAAGCAACAAAACTGACGGAGGAGAGGGACGGCAGCCTGAACCAGAGCTCCGGGTACCGCTATGGCACAGACCCCACCCCTCAGCACTACCCCAGCTTCGGTGTGACCTCCATCCCCAACTACAACAACTTCCACGCAGCCGGGGGCCAAGGACTCACTGTCTTTGGAGGTGTGAACTCTTCGTCTCATACGGGGACCTTGCGTACGAGAGGAGGAACAGGTAAGCCCCCAAAGTCATGGAGTGTGGAGAGGGGGCAGCCGCCCTTAACTCTTTTGGCAATTGAACATCTGGGTTCCCATCACTTCCCTTTGACTAGGGGTTTCACATGTAAGTTTCTAATATGTCTCCTCTACTAGATGAGGGGCTGTAAGAAAAGCCAGAGCTTGATGTACAAACAAAATGCTTGGCTACAGGGTTGCAAGGTGCCCCAGGTTGCTGCTCTGAGGATTCTGTATGGGTTAGTGAGCTACAACTTTCTACTGAGGCACTGTAGGTTAATGACTCTCAGCCTCGCCTGGCTGGTTGGCACAGAAGAACTAGGGCAGCCTTTTCAAAACACGGATGCCTGAGCCATGTCCCAGTCTTTTGAATTAGAGGCTCCAGGACTGGGTCTGGGTGTGTGTATTTTGAGTTCTCTAGATATTAATGTACTCCCTCTTCCCACCCACTTCTTCCTAATCCTCAGCCTGCCTTTCTCTTTTTTTTTTTTTTTTGCAGTTTCCTTGTCTTTCGTACCACAAGGCTGTATTTTGCTGCCATGTGTATTTGCTGACTTAGCTAATACTTTGTAAAATATCTGGCATACATTCTCAGACATATGTTTTCCAAAATATTTGTAAGTTATCTCATGCATCCTTAGTCGTCCAAATTTTCTCTGAGTATGTGAACCATGGTAACTAGATATTTGACATTATTTGTTCCAAAATTATTTTGTTTATTGCAAAAGTTTGAAAGAACACAGCATCTCTCAGCTCATCTGGCGGCAGATGTCTTATATAAAAGTTTTAAAGAATGCGGCATCTTTCAACCCATCTGGCAGCAGGTACCTTTCCACCTAGGGAGGAGGCACTACTAAGGCATTAGCAAGTATTTTTTCCCTCTGCACCAAACACACATCAGTGTAGTTGTATCAAAAGGCCTGACCCTGAGCCTTTGGACATTATCTACTTCTCTTCTGCTAGCCTAGCATGCTCTGCCCAGTAGAAGTGTTTATGTTCACCCTCATGCTGTGGTGACTCTAGCTTTCCTTTCAACCCAGGCCTTGCATGGGTTGAATACATGCCAAGTATCTTTACCCATCCCTCCCACCTTCCAAAGGCACCTGGAAAGGAGAGATGCAGACAGGCAGTCTAAAGCCACCTGTCTTCTGGGGATGCAGGAGAAAAAAAGAGGCGAAAACACACCCAACGCAACCCCCATCGTCGTGCCTACCATGAGAAGCATGGGGGCTTTGCCAGCCTAGACTGTTAATTCTGCTGACACAGCCATTATCCTTGTTCATTCATTCATGAGTGCTGGATATGGACCCCTGTGTCTGCATGTATCATTCATTAAAGTCACTAGAGAGGGCCACTTGTGTTGAGCATGTGGGTCTCCACTACAGTCAGGAGCAGTCTTCGTCTAAGAGGCTACCTGATCCCTTATAACATTTGAAAGTTAAAACACAGTACCCCCAAATGTTGGCAGATTTTTCTGCCTTGAATTATTTGGTTTTAATATATATGCATGTCCTTTCTCCCAACACTGCCTTCAGTCCTGTAGGGCCAAGAACAATGTCTGTGTTTCTCTGTAACCTCCTTTGATTCTCCCCTCGGTTCCCGGAACATGGAACAGAAAAGCCCTCAGTGAGAACTTGTCAGCTGATGCAAGAAGATAGCGGGGTGCTGGTCTTCATGTGCCTTGCCTTCCATACAGTGGAGCTGGCTTGTCTTCATTTTTAGGTTATTTTTAAAGAAGGGAATCTGGTCATGGAGTGTTAAATAAGAATAGGCATGACCTTACAGGCATCCACATTTTTGTTTTAAGCCAATCTCTTTTCTTACCTTCCAAAGAAACCTAAGGAAAGAAAGACAGTTGCCAAGTGAGCCTTGCTTTGCGTGGTCAGACCTCTGAATGCTAACTCTCCTGAGGAAAGTCCCACTTGGGATGGGGCAGAAAGACAAGCCCCACTCCTCTCTGTGGTCCTTGAATAGTGCCATGACACATTTCTTCCCTTGGAACTACCTACACAGCAAACTGGCAGCTTGGTAAAAAAGTGGGCTCTGGCCGGGTGCAGTAGCTCACACCTGTAATCCCAGCACTTTGGGAGGCCGAGGTGGGTGGACCACTTGAGGTCAGGAGTTTGAGACCAGCCTGGCCAACACTGCGAAACCCTGTCTCTACTAAAAATACAAAAAAATTAGCCAGGTGTGGTGGCAGGTGCCTGTAATCCCAGCTACTCGGGAGGCTGAGGCAGGAGAAGTGCTTGAACCCAGGAGGCGGAGGTTGCAGTGAGCTGAGATCACGCTATTGCACTCCAACCTGGGCGACGAGAGTGAAACTCCGTCTCAAAAAAAAAAAAAAAATTTAACTCTCTTCATCATATAGATATCTTTTTTCAATCTGTACAGAAGATCTTTCTTCATAATTTTTTTATAATTTAATGGTATCTACTATGTGATGTTTAAATATTTTTTTTTAATGTACAGAGATTATGTTTCCCAAATCTTACCCAGATGAGTATGGCACTTAGTTAGACATTTCTAGCAGCAGATTTCCCCTCGCCTCTAACCGAACTATCACATTTCTGTCTTAACTAATGCAAAAATATCAAGTAGTGAGAGACCCAGGTTTATAACTGTGCTAGGTACGTAGAGGCTGCTGCCTTCAGCCTGGACTTTCACAAAGCAGTAATATTCCAGGGAGCTTGTAACCAGTGATACCACAACTTTTAAAAACTAAAACAAAAACACATTTGTCTTATGACTATGTAATTTTCACTAGAATCTACACTTCTCAGAGCAGCAAGGACTTTAGAAACTATGAAATGTCACTGACATTTATCATCAAATACAAGCATAAAATGTAAGAACTAAAAAATACTCAAAAGAAATAACTGCTCAGCCCTAGCTCCTGAGCTGGGAGGATTTGGTCTGTGGAAACAGGGAGGGCCAGCAACCTGTTCCAGCACAAAAGAAAATAAACTGTGAGGTAGATAACTGATCATACACAGCTGACCAGACAAGTACCCAGTTTTGGAAGACAACTTAATTTACCATTGCTTTTAAGACATATGCAATTGCCGGCCGGGCGCGGTGGCTCAAGCCTATAATCCCAGCACTTTGGGAGGCCGAGACGGGCGGATCACGAGGCCAGGAGATCGAGACCATCCTGGCTAACACGGTGAAACCCCGTCTCTACTAAAAATTACAAAAAACTAGCCGGGCGAGGTGGCAGGCGCCTGTAGTCCCAGCTACTCGGGAGGCTGAGGCAGGAGAATGACGTAAACCCGGGAGGCGGAGCTTGCAGTGAGCTGAGATCCGGCCACTGCACCCCAGCCTGGGCAGCAGAGTGAGACTCCGTCTCAAAAAAAAAAAAAAAAAAAAAAAAAGACATATGCAATTGCCTTAATAAAAGAACTTTAATAACAGTGAATTATCTTATATGTACTAAAGTAGAAATATCTGTGTATTAATGAATCAGGAATTTCATAGTTTCAAAATTGGTTTTCTTTACACTCGAACACTTATAGTGACGACGTAAAGTGTGGCACCGCTTGGATCCAAATCTTCCTTCGTGCTTTTTTGTTTGTGTGTGTGTGTCCATACATCAATTAAAATTATAAAACCTGAATTTACAGTTTCTGTGGGTCTGGAATCTGCGAATGCTTCGTTGGGTCCTTCGGAATCTCTCACAGGCTGTAATCAAGGTGTGTTGGCTGGGCTACAGTCATCTCACAGTTTAGCTGAGAATGATCTGCTTCCAAACTCATGTAGTGCTGGCAAGATTTGGTGCCTCGCTGGCTGTTGGCCAGAGGCCACCTTCAGTTCTTGGTCACGTGGGCCTCGCCAGCATGGCGCCTTGCTTCATCAAAGTACACAAGCTGAAGTGGCAATAGAGAGAGTCTGCTAGAAAGACAGAAGTCACCATCTTTTGAAGCCTAGTCACTTAAGGGACTGCACATTCTGTTGAGTAGAAGCAAGTCGTTAGATCCAGCCTACACTCAAGGGGAGGGGCTTGCACGAGACATGAATCCTAAGAGGCAGGAATCACTGGGGACTGTGCTAGAATTATGCCTATTGGGTTGAGCATGGTAGGTCACACCTGTAATCCTAGCACTTTGGGAGGCCAAGGCAGGAGGATCGCTTGTGCCCAGGAGTTTGAGACCAGCCTGGGCAACATAGTGAGACCCCCGTCTCTATTAAAAAATGTATATATATATGCCTAATTACGTGGAGGAAATCCTAGGCCAAATGACACTGGATAGTCTCTGCTGGTGCTAGCAAACTTCTGCAGAGCAGGAAGGGCCTCTCCAGAGAGTCAGCCAGATGAGACGACATAGGGTGGATGTGAGGAAGAGTGAGCGCCACAAGACAGTGTGAGGAGAGGTGAGTTCAACGTAGAAGGAGGACAAGGGAGAGGGTTCCATTTTCAGCAGTGGGGCTGAGCAGCACAAAACTGCAAACCCAACTGCAGATGCCGAGAGCAGTACATCCTCTAATTGGGGTGAATATTACAGAAAGAGTCTTCTCTAAATGTCCCCAAGCTGCAGGAGGTCTTTCCTGTTACATTCTATATTACTGTTTTACCAGGGCAAAGGGTGGTCCGTTTTACCCAGAACCTAACATGGGCTCCAAGTGGAGGAGAAGACGTGACCAGCAAAGGATGTCAGTAACTGCCACAGAGCCCTGCGAACCTGAACCCTGATGCTGACGCTGCCCTTTTGTTTGGGACGTGATTTTAGTATCTCCCTGCTCCTCAGCACTCATTCAAAGCTATTACAGAAAGAAGCCCTTCAGCTGCAGGTTTTTATCAGATCCAGTAAGGCTTCCCTACAAAGACCAAGGCATAAACACAGCCCTGTGACTCTGGTTTTGACACATTAATTACAACACCTCATCACGTTATTAGTGCTGACTAGATGTAGATTGTGAGAATGAGATTTTAGTGAAGATCTAATTTCTTGGAATTAATTTCCCCTTGTGTAATAATCTCCCTTCTTGTGAATTTCGTTTTGGCAGGAGTGACACTGTTTGTGGCCCTTTATGACTATGAAGCACGGACAGAAGATGACCTGAGTTTTCACAAAGGAGAAAAATTTCAAATATTGAACAGCTCGTAAGTTTGGAGAGGGAGGAGAAGCATGTATACCTTTCAGGTTGGGAAGGGGTCTTGTATTTCTGGTCTGCACCTCTTCAGATGTCTGAAATCCTAAAAGAACAGTTGCTAAATTCACTAGTTTACAACAATATACTATGAGAAAAAGAAGAGTCAGTGACACACTGCAGTATTTTATGGCACTGTGTGTCCAAGGAGATTTTTGGAGAGTACCAAAAATACTAGCACAGTCCGTGTTTATTGGTTTTGGTTTAGGTTTAAAGGTTGTAAAATCACCAGCATCACTCTCCATAGCCCTGAGTGTTTCTACAAACCTAGTTTCAAGTGATTGGCACAAGCCTTGGCTACCCACGTTTCATGCTCTCTGCCTTGAGATTTTCTTCACGTTTCACATGTTACACTAGCTAAGCCCTCACTTGAGGCTTGCAACAAGTTCTTTGTTTTATAAACTGCTAAACATTTCATTGGTGAAGCCCATGGAGGCGTTTCACTGTAATGAAAATTTGGGAGTGACTGGAATCTTTTGGAGCCAAAAGAAGTGATTTCACCCACTCATGAATGAATATGCTGCATGGTTGTTTAACGTTGGCCAGGAGGAACAACAGTTAAACACGCAGTGGGGGGATTTCAAGAGTAAGGACCACTCACTTTTCAAATCCTGCTTTCAATACCTCCATAAGAAGAGTAAACATGGGTCAGATTTTCTTATGGTTTATAAATACTTCCTCTGTTAGATGGAGGCAGTGTGCGCAGATGAGGCCCTTCAGAAAAAATCTAGGCTCTGAAGAAAGTGTCGGGTGGTTCCACATCGGCAAGCCAGGCATCTCCAGCGTCCCTATGAGTGCCCCCAGTGGTTGGGAAAGAGTGCCACGCAGGGGCTGAGGGGCACACCAGGAAGTTCTATGCCACCAAGTCTGGTTGCTTCTCCTCTGCTCTCTGAGCAAACCAGATTCCATGTCAGCAGAAGGACTTGGAGGCAGGCTCCTCAGCTTTCCCAGAAGGATGTGCCAGAGGGAGTAAGACGCAGCTCTGGTCACACTGCACGTCCCAGGAAAGAGGAGTGCTGATTGCCACAGGAACCTCCTTCAGGCCTGAAAACTGCCTCCTTGGAAAGCCCACCCTTCCCGGGAATGCCCCCTGGCTCACAGAACCATGCACTGAGGATATGCCGCCTTTCAACAGCAAGAACTGAATACCGCTATAAAGGGCTGATGAGTCTCTTCCAGACATCAGAAAGCACAATCTACATAGCCACAGGGTTTTCAAACATATATTAGGATTGTCATCATTAACAAAGGTGTGGGGTGGCTTTTTTTTTAACTCTTTATTGGAATACATGCAGAATAGTGCACATATCAAAAGTGTCCACAGTGATGTTGCACAGCAGTGTGAACATACTTACTGCCGCTCAACTGTACACTTAAAAATGAGTAAAATGATACATTTTATGTTGCCTATATTTTACCACAATTTTCAAAAAGTATACAGTTTGCTGAATTTTCACAAGCTGAACATGCCTGTGCAGCCACCACCCAGGTCAAGAATAGTGTCACCTACCCCCCCCTCCCGGAGTCATCCTCCTGTAGCCACAGGAAGTTTTTAAAAAAATAATAAACAGCTGTCATTCACTGAAGGCTCCTGAAGTACCAGCCATGCGCTAAGTTACAAACATTCTCATGCATTTTTCCACAACTGTCTGAGGTATGCATCGACGTCATCATTTGACATCTGAGGAGCCAGAGGCCCAGATTAGGAAACTGCCCCAGAGCACGGAGCTGGCAGGTGGCAGAGCCCAGGGTGAGGTGCAGGGAGGCATCCTGAGAACAGTGTCAGGTTTGATCTGGGAGAGGCCCAGGTACTTTATCAAAGGGGAGGGGACCCTTCAAGTAACAGGAAGGTTTGGAGAGTTGACCGGGGCTGGGGAAGAGGGGATCGGGCTTCGATCCTCTCTGGGTATACCTCCTTGCTGTTATTTTGCTGCTTGTTGGAGTCCATTAACTTTGAATTCTGAAGTCCCCCGCCCCTTAGCCTCCCCTACATGCCAAGGTTGATTAGAAATTTCAAGACTATTTGTAAACTTTCAACTGCAAGAACCACGGAATAGTAGGAGCACAGACCCAGCTCTCGGGAGGCTTTGTCCACACTGCACGTGCATCTGTGCATCAGGCCGGAGGGCGTTGGAAAGTTAGTCCCTGCCGATGTCAATCCCACGGCTTCTTCCTTTGTTAATCTGGAAAGGATCTGCAATGTCACCAAATTGAAATTTTAGAGAAACACTTAAGGAGGATCCAATCTGTCTCAATCTCTATTTTGTGACTTCCATGCACGGCCTTTGATATTTACAGAGTCCTTTGAGCCTCCAACCCTGTTCTTGTAGAGGAAAATATTACAAAGGTTCTCTTCCTCTTAATGTTCTTCCTTTCTGCCAATGGAATTCCATATCAGTGGAATTTTAAAATGCCCTTTCTCAAGGTTATAGAAAAGAAAAATAAGGTTTGTGTAACACGACAATATCCTGAAGTCCTGGGTAATAACAGGGAAGAGAAAATCGTGAAGGAAAAACAAAGCAATAATACGGAAGCAGATGGCATGTGGCTCCTCCCCTCCCCCATTCTCTCCCGCCTCTGGCTCTGGTCCTCAGAGGAGAGGGAGGAATGGGGCTCTGTTCTGCCAGGGCAGCTGCCACACCTCCTAGTGTGTGTCCTCCCACTCCCTTCCCTGGTGGGAGCCCTGGTGGCTTTGGAGGCCACAGGGCTGGCTTTGTTAAAGTACAGCATACACCATGGGATGTGCATGTATGTATGTACCCAGCGGCGGTGTTCCTGCTGCCCAGCAAGGGGCAACGGTGCTTCATTGACCTGTTGTAAGAGCTCAGTGTCATGTATTAGGACATTATTAAATTTGAACCCATTTTGCAAAATATTTAAGTTCATCCATTGTATTCCCTGTTTTCACATTTTAAGACTAGTCATTTACCATCTAGGAACAGTGACTCTATAAATGTAATACATGTTTTACACAGAGTGGAGTAGTGGTCACAGCTGCAGGCAGGGTTTTTTTCTCTATTGTGATAAAAAAAAAAAATCCTGGTTTAGAGCCCCACCCAAGCATTTGATAAAACTGTTACTGACATACTCTCTAAAAATCAGATGGGTAGTGACTACATTTACAAAGAATCCAGCATTTATAATAAAAATGCTATGCTACTGAGCAGATCAAGGCTGACTTCTGTTGGCAAATAACTACTCCCTGGCTCCAAGGCTCTAGGGCTGCCAGCTCCTGGGCCCACAAGCCTGTGAGCAACTTTGGGGTTTGGGGGTAGGCTCTTTTCTTGGTGTGGAGTGTGGTGGGGGCATGGAATCTTTTAACAAGTCTTTAAATCAGAGGAACAGAGAGAGCTGTTATAAAACCTTAAAAGCCATTCTAAACCAGCGCCAGGCTTTAAATCATATATTTGAATTAGAACAAGATAACAAAGAATATCTCACCAAGTGTAAATTAAAGAAAAATCTGAACTATAAGAACAGCTTAAAGAAATACAGCTTTAACAATGCTAATTACCCACAGTAACTCAACAAATAAAAGATAACATAGTAGAGATCCTATTTTCCTAAACCAACATGAATATAGAGTATGTCTATTTATAGGTGAGTTGGTGCTTCTAGGGTATCAAAAAGATGACTTACTCATTTGCTCAGAGGCTCTTGATGAATATTTTGGGTCTGTACCAGCCTCTCTGGGCTCAACATGTGAGGTTCACCACATAATAAACATTGAATCTTTGTCACCTTATGTCTCCTTTGATGAAGATGACGACCCTGGAAAGCCTAGAAAAAGAGAAATCAAGGATTTTATCTTTCTCATGAGTAGCTGAAACCCCTTGTGAGATTAACAGGGTCAAGTGAGAAAATCATGGATTCTTGATTCATGACTTTAGAATGAGCTGATAATTGCATTCTGATCTGTGCTACACTATTTAGGTGCCTAGACCAAAATGAGATAGTTAATGCTAGATTTGAATTGGAAATGACTTCATTAATGCCAGATCACCTGAATAAGGCTGGGCTTGTCCCAGCCTGCAGCGAAATGTATTGGCTTCCCGCCCCCATTGACATCCTCAGATACCCTAAAATTGATGCTAGCCATTTTTTTTCTTAATTTAATTCAATTAGAACTAACTTGATGAAGGTTATCTTGCATTAAAAAACAATAAGCCTCTGCTACAAGCACTTAATTTTTTCCTCGCCATTTTGGAGCATTTCCCAGGCTGGGCGGGAGAGGGTGGAGGGGGAAGAGCAGGGTATTGTTACTTTTTATGATGAAATGTCTCCATCTAGTGGAACTTCAGAGCAGTAAATGCTGTCAATATATTAAAGTGAAGATTATGTCTCCGAAGCCATTTCCTTAAACACATACAGTGTTTAAAGAAAAAAATAAACTTCCACATATGTTCTTAGATGATATCCTTACAACTGTATGTATTCCTTTTGGAAGGCATAGAAGTGAGACCAGTACAAACTGTTAAGATATTAACATTTTTAATGTCATGATTTGAACCTGAGAGAGGTGCTTACAGTAGGGGAGCAGCACAGTGCAGATCCCACCCAGTTGGTAACGATCTAGCTCTTAAGTTGGGCAGTGGGTTCACGGGGTTCGTATGTGCTGTACCTATGTTCTTCAGTGTGTGTAAATATTTCCTAACAAAGATCTAGACATGAACTAAATTTAAGATTATGAATAAATCTAGACATGAACTAAATTTTATGAATAAAGAACTTTCTGAATATGAGTACTGTACTTTTGGTGGATTTGTAATAGGGTTAAAAAAAGAGATTAGGAAACTGATGGAAACATAAGGTTGTAAAAACCTGTGCCGGCACCTTGGGTTTTTTGTGGGCTATTCTATTCCTTATGCCACCAAACACCTTCCCACAACATCACCCGCAGCACGCGCTGGCTTGTCACCTTTATTCTCTTGCTCTGTTAAATCCGATCTGGAGGCATTGCTCACTGCTCACCTTGCTCAGAGTCCAGCTTTAGAGAGCGGCCTCTGGAATAAGGCTCGAGTTTCATGTGGAGGCTGGTTTTTCTCTACCTGATTAAATCCGTCTGGGGAGCATCTTTACCATGGCCAAAAGCCAACACATTTTTTTGCGTGGCTGAAAGCTTTGACACAGAACCCAGCCAAAAAAACGAGTTTTTAAAAAAATGCCTGGAGTTTCGCTTGCTGCCTCCAAGGACCAAAAATGGAGGAAGAGAAGGTGCCAAGCCCCAGGAGATGAGATTTGCTGGGAGGTCTGATTTGCTCGAGGGCAATCATGTCGTTCACTGCAGGCTGCTGGAAGGTTCTGCAGATACTCAATGGATGTCAGAGCCACAGCGCCACAGCCATTGCCTCTCCGATGTTAATGGGATGAGGTACACACTCCATTCCTGCTGTTTGTCACAGGTAGCCCTGTGTGAATCTAAACAGATGAACTTGAACTGCTTAATGTACTCACTGGCTTTAAGATGAAAGTAGCTACAAGCTCCCCTTTCACCTCCTCTGAGAGCTCCCCAGGTTGATACCACACTGCCGTGCTGTGGCATGGAGCCTAAGGCAGTGCAAAGTGGCACGACTAAAAATCTCACTCCCTTGCTGAGTTTCTGTGCTTCCTGTGTGCGAGCACACGCAGCCATACCCACCCTCCCCACTTGCCCATCAGCCTCAGGCCAGTGCTCTGGACATTTGATGGAATCACCTCAGATTGAAAATGCCTGGGGAAGGCGAGCCTACTCTAGTCTTCATCATTCTACCTGTAGAGAGGTGTCTCCCCATTTTTTTGAGAGCAAGCCAGGCACGTGTTTAGAGCATGCCTTCATCGCTCACCAGACCTCCTAACCTCCCAGTGTTAGGATGTTAACATTTTTAATGTCATGATTGGAACCTGAAAGAGAGAGGTGCTTACAGTAGGGGAGCAGCACCGTGCAGCTCAGATTGGCCTCAGACCTCCTAACAAGCTTCCCTTCCCAGACGATCTGCAGCTAACATGTTTTACTTAATTCGGCTGAGGCTGGGTTCCTTTTCCCTCTGTCCAAGTTGAGGACACTAACCAAGCAAAATGCCCCCTACCAAGGGAGACGTCTCATGGCCAGGGTCCCACATTCTTAATTCACGACTAAGACAAGAGACAACCATGGGTTCATCTCATGGCTGACTCGAACTGGAACCTTCTGACCTTCATGTGGGGGCTGTGTTGGAATTCAGGGTAAAGGAATAGATGGGAGAAATCAGGTGGCAGGATAATTATGTGACAGTTACACATTTCAGACCACAGTGAGTCTGTAACTGCAAGCTGTTGAAATGGTCAACATATTTACTTTTCTTTTTTCTTTTTTCTTTATAGGGAAGGAGATTGGTGGGAAGCCCGCTCCTTGACAACTGGAGAGACAGGTTACATTCCCAGCAATTATGTGGCTCCAGTTGACTCTATCCAGGCAGAAGAGTATGTTTCGTTTTATTTTCACTTAACTACTTGATTTTAAAAGTTGGTTGCCACAATAGAATGCCATTTAACATTGGGCAGGAGGGGGAAGAAATTCACAGCAGTGATTGAGGCTGAGTTTTTCAGGCTTTCTGCCCTGGTTTTTACCCTGTGTAATACTTGCACTGTTATTAACTTAATGTTTTTCTTGAAGCCAGCTCACTTATTTTGAAAGAAAACTTTCTATCAATATCCTAAATGAAAACCCAGTAAAACTTGTCATAGATTAAAAGTAGCCATAAAAATATGAAATGCTAGCTAGATCATATATTTATTATTGCCGACCCAAGTTTCTAAGCCCGCAGTCTGCTCCCTCTGTCGGGGAGAGAGAGGAGAGAGTAGCAAGTAATTGCCAAAGATTAACCTAAGATTATTCTCCTAAGCATGATCAGAAATATTAAAACAGTGCTGAAAAGACATCTCCTATGCCTGGTAAAAGTGACTCATATACAGTGTGTCCTCCCAACTTGGGAAATACTACAGTGATTTGGAACCTCAGTTGGCTTCTTTGATAGTAAATAGTGACGAGCAGTTATTTGGCGCAGCTATTCAACTGGTAGCAGTTTAGGAAGGTGTTCAGCAGGCTGAGGGATCTAGAGGGATATCCTTTCTCCCTTCCCCTGACCCGTGGGATTCATGGGCACTCCCAAGGGGAAGAACTGCCAGTGGCTGTTTGCCAGCTCTGACTTGTGAACTGAGGGAAGGAGAGATGGAGCCATGATTTCCCAAATGCAGGAACTTGGCCTCCTCCTGACACCTTGGGTCTCGCCTCTCTAGAAAGAGAGTTGAGAAAAGTCAGTCACCAAGCCCAACTTTTGGCTCCGATATTTAATTTCACCATGGATTTGTTTAAGCAGCGCAAGGGGGATTAGACTCCACACCCTAGCCAAATCCCCAGTTGGATTGTTCTCTTCTTTAATTCCCTTGTATTCCCTCTAAGAGGATCTGTTTTGTTTCTCACTCTCAAATACTCAGTGGTTCTTAGTTGTTGTTTTCTCCCAGTGACTGTGTTTCATCATCAGTGAATCAAGATATTTGTCTTTAATTTGTATTTTAGGGCAGATTTGCAAAAATCTTTGTGTTCTTTCAGAATAAAAAGTACCACCAAAATGTAGCATTACCCTGATTTAACTGGGAATTTGTCAGTTATATATTTAAGTTATTTTTATAATGGTCAACTTTTTAAATATTTTGTTTTTAAACAGTATTATTTTTAAAAATAATGCCTTTGGTTTTACATGTGTAATTAACTATTATTATCTTAAAATACTATTGTTTTGGTGCAATCCATTGTTCTAACAATTCTTTTTTCACCACTGTCTTACACGGCATTCTAATTGGGTTATGGGTACAAACCCAGAAAGCCGTTTCTCACAAATAATTGGCGTAATAGTCTTTACACCACCTAGTGCTAGATTAAGGATTGTTGCACATTTTGGTGTTTCTAAAACTCACTGAGGAGCTAACACGCCGTGTCTCTTTTCTTCAGTGAAGCTTAATTCACAAAAGAATTTGACAGTGAACTCATAATACCTATATTCAGGCATAGTGAATTGAAATTTCATTTTAGAATCTGGATTCTTTCACAGTTAAATATTCTAAAAATGGTTCCCACACACACATTCCAATTGAATGCTCCAGCATTCTCCCTTGGGTTTGGGGAGCACCTGCTGCTCATTCAGCACCTAGTGCTGAAATAGTAACTAACTGCCAGGCTTGGTTAAGGCTTGAGAATGTAGGGGGAGGATATAAGGCAAATAACAAAAGTCTTGAGGTGACTTAATGTGATGCCTCCTGAAGTGGCACAGAGTATCATTAGTTTGTTCAGGGATAATATATTGAAATATCTGCAACACCAAGTCATTTTAAGGGCACGCTTATTGACTGAGCACAGATCTCAAAGGTGTACAGTAACCAGTCCTTACAGTTGTGCCAAGGAAAAGATGTACAGGGCCAACCGTGATGGCTCCCTCCTGTAATCCCAGCACTTGGGAGGCCAAGGCGAGAGGATCAGTTGAGCCCGGGAGTTTGAGACCATCCTGGGCAACATAGGGAGACAGTCTGACTCTGTCCCCCGGCTAGAGTGCAGTGGCCCTGTCTCTGCTCACTGCCACCTCCACATCCCTGGTTCAAGCAATTCTCATGCCCCAGCCTCCCAAATAGCTGAGATTACAGGCACATGCCACCATGCCCAGCTAATTGTTTATATTTTCATTAGAGTTGGGGTTTCACCATGTTGGCCAGGCTGGTTTCGAACTCCTGACCTCAGGTGATCTGCCTGCCTCAGCCTCCCAAAGTGCTGGAATTACAAGCATGAGCCACCACTCCCAGCCTCTACAAAAAAATTTTTTTAATTAGCTGGTGTGATGATGTGCACCTGTTGTCCCAGGAGGCTGAGGTTGGAAGATTGCTTGAGCCTGGGGAGGTCAAGGCTGCAGTGAGCTGTGGTTATGCCACTGCACTCCAGCCTGGGTGACAGAGTGAGACCCTGTCTCAAGAAAAAAACAGAAAAAGAGGAAGAAGAAGATAATGATGTACACAGATCACAATCCAGGTGCTGGCAAATGCCTTTACTTATCCAAGTCCTCACACCTGGGGGAAAGCAAAATACAAATAAGTACTCACGGGCATTTTTCTCAGAATTCTTATAGGTAGGAAGTTACTGAAAATACTATTCCTTTATTCATATCATATCTATCTATTCTGACTTTTTTTAATGCTTGTTAATTATCTTCATATACATTGAGGCTGTGTTTTGTTATTTCCCAGCAGTTAATAATGCTCAGATATCAAGAGATTCAAGAGTTTTGTTTTTTTGTTTGTTTTTGAGACAGAGCCTCACTCTGTCACCCAGGCTGGAGTGCAGTGGCACGATCTTGGCTCACTGCAACCTCCACCTGCCAGGTTCAAGCGATCCTCCTGCCTCAGTCTCCCAAGTAGCTGGGGTTACAGGCTCATACCACCACGCCCAGCTAATTTTTTGCATTTTTAGTGGAGACGGGGTTTCACAGTGTTAGCCAGGATTATTGTCTCCATCTCCTGACCTCATGATCCACCCGCCTTGGCCTCTCAAACTGCTGGGATTACAGGTGTGAGCCACCATGCTTGGCCTGTTTTTTTTTTTTTTTTTTTTTTTGGAGACACAGCCTTGTTCTGTCACCCGGCTGGAGTACAATGGCACAATCTCAGCTCACTGCAACCTGGGTCTCCCAGGTTCAAGCAATTCTTCTGCCTCAGCTTCCCGAGTACCTGGAATTACAGGTGCCCACCACCACACCTAGCTAATTTTTGTATTTTTAGTAGAGATGAGGTTTCACCATGTTGGCCAGGCTGGTCTCAAACTCCTGACCTCAGGTGATCTGCCCGCCTCGGCCTCCCAAAGCGCTGGGATTACAGGCGTGAGCCACCATGCCCAGACTAGAGTCTTTTAAATAAGTGTGGAGAGGGTCTCATGCAGTTGCCATTTCAAATCAAGGTCTTAGATTTCTGGGTTTTTTTTGCATACAGATGGCGGTTTTAACACAAACCAGTTCTGGTCACGTCTGGAGGGGAGGAAAACAACCCACAATTCAAATCTGATTTTTTTAAAAGAGTGAAAGAGATGAATTAGGGATAGAATCCAGGATAGATTGGAAAGGAACTGAATTAAGCTAGAAAAAATACGTACAGGGAAAGGCTAAGGACTAAATCGGAGGTGAGGGGAATTCATGGGCAAAAAAAAAAGCCTATGCTGTTGCATTTTGTAAATGACTATTACGAAGTATTTTCTTTCCTTGATCTCATTTAAAGGTGGTACTTTGGAAAACTTGGCCGAAAAGATGCTGAGCGACAGCTATTGTCCTTTGGAAACCCAAGAGGTACCTTTCTTATCCGCGAGAGTGAAACCACCAAAGGTAAGATAACGAGTTGAAGAAGTTGGCTTGTCATTCAAATCTGTGGATTAGTCAGAGGGGATGAAAGGCTTATCTGTAATGTACAAGGTTTTTAAAATGGCACATATCCTCCCTGCCTTATGAGTGGAGTCCTGTTTTCAGTCTTGCCTCCAGGCTCTAGAACTGCAGACAGCACCAAAAGAACTACAGAGGCTCCAAATCAAGACCTTCCTCCTGAAACAGGCTGGGGGCGGCTTTACTGCTCCGGGCACACAAGATCATAGAATTTTCAGAAGTCCTTTAGAATTTCGATTTTCTGAAACTCTTAGTTCCTCGGGTGCCAGTCATATGGGTTGTTTTTGCTTTCCTTTTGTTTTTTAAATAACTGAGGACTTCACTTCTCTTCCTCCAACTGTTGGACTTTTCATTATTTAACCACTCATTACAGCCCACAAGAGGAGATAGGTCAAGGAAGAAAAGAGTAGGGGCCTCTAGCTTAATCCACCAGATTATCTGTTCCTGTGGAAAGTGTTGTAAAACAGAAGCTTGGAGCTCACTTCTAGAGAAAAAAGCCTTAGATTTCTTTTGCACATGCTGCCGCTACCTCCCAGTATGCCCCTGGGTAGAGAAGACAGGGGAAGCAAACTCAGCCGTGCATCGTGGTTCTTCTCTCTACCCTGGAGGGAAGGAGTGTCGGAATTGAGTCTACGCTGTATTATACAACAAGGGTGACTGAGCAGTGTGTTTAAGAAAAATATCCAGGAAGCTTTCAGTCTCAAGTGCAGAATTATTTTACTGCTAATATCTTCTGACATTTGCAGGACATCAAGAAGCATCTTCTTCCTGTTCCTGAGTGGAGATGCTGTGTGTGTGTGTACATGTGTGTGTGTATCCTTGGTAATTATTAATCAGAGTCAAGAAAATGAGGCCTAAAAAGCAAGCTAATAGTCTAAATGACTGGTGCTGCTAATGCTTTGCTTGTTTACCAGGTGCCTATTCACTTTCCATCCGCGATTGGGATGATATGAAAGGAGACCACGTCAAACATTATAAAATTCGCAAACTTGACAACGGTGGATACTACATTACCACCCGGGCCCAGTTTGAAACCCTTCAGCAGCTTGTACAACATTACTCAGGTAACCTGAATTCTAACTGCCTACTAACCGTGTGGATGCTGGAGGGAGTGGATAGGCCCAGAGCAGGAAAGTGGAAAGGGTAAAACTAATTATGTACAAAATCACTCCTAGAATATGTTTTCTTTGCCAGCCCTTAATGGTGGGACTTGGCTGAATAGGTTCTATTGCTGTTGTTCTACTGTAGTTGTTATTATTAGTTCCACATGTTTGTCCAAAGATCCTATAATATTTTTGTTTCCCAAGTAGAAAGCAATAGGTTAAATTGTAAAAGTTGTTTGTCTTTTTATCTTCATCCTAAAATACTTCAAGTTGTCTTTTCCCATTCCCCCTGCATTGCATATGAGGAAGGAGTCTCTCGGAGGGCACTTACATGGGGACTCCTACAAGGAATACTGGCTTTCCACCATCACTTTACACTCAGCACTGTTGCAGGAATAGCTGCACGTACATTTCATTCTCATGCAAGCCATTTATCATGTTCCCCACCAATACTGCTGTTTCCTAACTAGACTTAGACTTACACGACCCACAGCTCTTAGATCTATTACGTCGTCTTGTGTTAAATTAAACTTTTAAAACGCACATCAGTCTCTGTCCTAACACCCAGATATCACCATTATTTTGTTGTTTCTGAAAACATATAAATATTAGGTGTGCAGTTTATACATTTTATCAAAGACTGTGGTTTTATGTGCAATTGTTAAAATGATTGCTTTCTTTCCTAGATTAGCAAGTATTATATACCACTATATAATACATGTTCACATGTGCCTGTAGTTATAGGTGCACATGTACAGACACATGTCTATATCCTATTAAGCCTAGAGGTTTTTTTTTCGTGTGACCCATTTCTCCATTTTCTATTGTTCTCCAGGACAAAGGCAAGACTCAAAAGATAGTATACGATTTTCCTCTACTATTGCTCTGTGCACAATCATTGAAATATGTATGTATAATTTTTGGCATGAAAAAGCAATCTTTCAAAAATGACAATAAGAAATGTCTGTTGATCCCTGGCACTAATGAACAATAGAACATATTCACAGCACTTGCAGTACTAGTTGATTATGGCATTGGCTAACTTGGTTTATGTGGATTCTAATGAAACATTTGGGAGAAACGGAACAGAATATCTCCCTGAGCTTAAGTGATATACTCAAAATGCCTGCATGTTGTAAGGATTTTTCAAATGCTGAAATATATTTCATTACAGCCAAACATCAGCAGGATCCCCAGGGTTTGGATCATTTGAAAATACTGTGTTCGAAAGGGCACCTTAATAACATTGTAGAGCTAGAAGGAAGGAGGAGATGTGAACAATAGACACTTTTTTTAATCTCGGGGAAAAAAAATCCATCTCACGTTAGGCTTGTTTTTATATTGGCTTTCCCTCTTCCCTCTTTCTCTCTCACACAATAAAATGCCTTTGAAATATTGACACATAAATAATTTCCTACCTAAACATCTCAGAGCCTGATTCCATCAAAAAGAAAGGAGTAAAAAGCAAGTTACAGCCCAGCAGCACATCTGCTTTGCCTGGTTCCGGGGACTGCCGGGAGGGAGCGGGAGGGAGCGGGGGTCTGTCCGCCTCCCAGGGCAGGCTCTGTCAGCTTTTGTCACTCCCTGATTTCTTATTCTTTGTTACCTTTTTTCGCCTGACTGATTTTTACTTGGCATTTAAGTTCTCCTTAGCACTGCCAGACTCTAAAAGGTTATATTCTTTTTAAAAAAGAAGAGAAAGAAAGAAAGAAGACAAAGAGAAAAAAAACCTCCGAGTGATAACTACTTTTTCCCTTTTTTTTTTTTTTTTTTTTGTAAAGAATACATTTTTTTCACATCTTGAATTTCTGTGAATTTTAGTTTCCATTCTTTCTCCTTTCAAACCAAACACCTAAATTATACATTGAAGACTGGTAAAAGGTGGTTTTTTTTTTTTTTTTTTTTTTTTTTAATGGAAAATATCAAAGCAGCAGCCCAGGAGTATCTGACTTGGTGGAATGGAATCAGTTAGAAAGCCAAAGAAATCACTAAAAAAAGTGACTTCTTTTTTTTCCCCATCACTTATAATCTTCAGCCTTACTAGTTTATGACAGTTTAATGTTCTGTAGAAGAATCCTCCACTAAAGTTATAATTTTAACTATAGTCATGTAGACAGATCCCTAATCCCCTGGGTAATCTAGATACTAAAGGTGGGGAGGAACAGTCATGTTGACATTCTTGAATCCAAAACCACTTTTTGAAATTAGTAAGGATGTTTTCAGCATTCCCAAAAACATGTTATGAGCACATTGAGCTGAAAACGTTTTTCTTACTCAGTGAGTACAGAAACCAAAGCAGCCTGTGTGTATATCTATGTGTAGACTGTATCGTACCTGGGCTTATGGAGTAGTCTAAATTTAACACGTCCTCTATTCGACCTCCAATGAAAATGTTTCTGTGTGTGGCATCTGATCTTCCACCGTGTGTGTGGCCGTCTGCTGGTGTAGCGCTGTGTGCTGCTGGTGTTCCACAATGTGTGTGGTCGTCTGCTGGTGTAGCACTGTTTGAGGAGCACTGTGCGCCGCTCGTGTGGGTTTACACTTAGGAGTGTTGTCATTACATGTGTTCTGCTCTTCTCTCCCTCTCCTGCCCCTGCCCTGCTCCATCAGAGAGAGCTGCAGGTCTCTGCTGCCGCCTAGTAGTTCCCTGTCACAAAGGGATGCCAAGGCTTACCGATCTGTCTGTCAAAACCAAAGATGTCTGGGAAATCCCTCGAGAATCCCTGCAGTTGATCAAGAGACTGGGAAATGGGCAGTTTGGGGAAGTATGGATGGGTATGCTGAGACTCAATTACTCTATTATTAGCTTCCCCGTTTGGGAAATCCCAAACACCAAAGATGGAAGGTGAAAATAAAGACTGTGTGACCGGGAAGAAAGTTTGAATTCCTAATAGTGGGGAATAATAATTTCAATTTTGGTTTTAACATTCTGGAATTTCTAAAAAAAAAAGATAGTAAGTGGGCAAAACTGGCAAATGGCTCAAGTTGTACTATTACATGACTCTCAATTCATAAACCAGCAAATGGTCCAAGGAATGTTCCAGCTGCCATAAAATGTCTTGCCCTTCATTTCCAAAAGTAAATATTTGTTAAGTATCGTCCTAACGGGCAAGTCACCTTCCATCTTTCCTAGTGCATGCGTAATTATGGATTATAAGGACTGTGTTTTCTTTATTAATTCCCTTTCCTGTAGAGAAAGCTGATGGTTTGTGTTTTAACTTAACTGTGATTGCATCAAGTTGTACCCCACAAACTTCTGGATTGGCTAAAGATGCTTGGGAAGTTGCACGTCGTTCGTTGTGTCTGGAGAAGAAGCTGGGTCAGGGGTGTTTCGCTGAAGTGTGGCTTGGTAAGGCAGAGGGCACATTTTGTTTTGGCTGCATCTCAAAGCCGATTAAAAGGATGGTTGTGAACAAAAATGCACACACAGCCATTGGGACAAAGACACTTAACCTGGATAACTAGACAGGCACAGACCATCCAGATTTTCAGAATATGCTGATACCTTGCTGTGCTCATCTGTCCTACTTTATGTGGTTAATTAAGGCACCCGCAGAACAGGAAACCAGTACACTACGAATCTGGTGTTTCCTCTTCCTAAGAAATGGGAAGGTAAGATACTGTATATGGGCAGCCATAAGAAAGACCATGGGCATTTTGCTCAATGGGCCTGGGTTTGAATCCTTACTAGCTAATTAACCATAAATAAGGGCATATTTAACTCCTTTAAGCCTCAGTTTTTTCTTCTGTAAAATTGGAATGATACTTTGTTGTTGTTGTTGAGATGGAGTCTTGCTCTGTCGCTAGGCTGGAGTGCAATGGCGTGATATCAGCTCACTGCAACCTCCGCCTCCCGGGTTCAAGCAATTCTCCTGCCTCAGCCTCCCAAGTAGCTGGGATTACAGGTGCCTGCCACCATGCCCGGCTAATTTTTTGTATTTTTAGTAGAGGCGGGATTTCACCATGTTGGCCAGGATGGTCTCGATCTCTTGACCTGGTGATCTGCCCGCCTCGTCCTCCCAAAGTGCTGGGATTACAGGCGTGAGCCACCATGCCGGCCAGAATGTACTTATTTTATAGGATCATTTTTAGGATTACATGGGTTAATATGTTTAAAGTCCCTTGCAGATAGTAGATACTCAGTAGACATACATACTTCTCTTTATTTGATTGTCATTGATAAGGCTGGCTGCACTGGGCCTTTGTAATTTCTTTTATAGCCCTTTTGGGTCAGTTGCAGCTTTGCTTAGAAACAATTCATGGATTTAGGCCCCACTCAAAAACCTGTTTCAGTGAAACAATATTGATACTTATGGAATCCTCCATCTTCCTTCCTCAGAACTCATTCAAAACAGTATTGATCAGTACCCTTTGCTATGTGTGGGTACAGATCTTTAGGTGTAGTCTGCATTAAAAGAGTTAATACAGGTGGCCGGGCGCAGTGGCTCATGCCTGTAATCCCAGCACTTTGGGATGCCAAGGCAGGTGGATCACCTGAGGTCAGGAGTTCGAGACCAGCCTGACCAACATGGAGAAACCCTGCCTCTACTAAAAATGCAAAATTAGCTGGGCATGGTGGCACATGCCTGTAATCCCAGCTACTCGGGAGGCTGAGGCAGGAGAATCGCTTGAACCTGGGAGGCAGAGGTTACGGTGAGTAGAGATAGTGCCATTGCACTCCAGCCTGGGCAATAAAAGCGAAACTCCGTCTCAAGAAAAAAAAAAAAAAGAGTTAATACAGTTAAAGCACTTAAAACATATAGCCCAGCAAGTGATAAGTACTACAAAGATATATGTAGGTAAGTAGGTGGATAAATAGGTAATAGATAGACATACACATATATATGTATGAGTTAGCTAGTTTAATAAATCCACATTATTGTGTCCATCTCTCTCTGGACTTATGACCTCCTTCTTCCTCATTCACCCTCTAATAATAGAGGATATTAGTCAAATTACTCACACAATCACGGAGAATTGGACCCTGTAAGAAAATTTGTTTTCAAATTTTACAGATATCAACTTTAAATCATGACATATCCTGTTCACATTTTGTTTCCCAATAAACACAAGATGACATGCCCAGCAGAATTGGGATGGGTGTCTATGCAATTAATGAGGTTTGCATTACAGAGGAAGATTTTAATGTATTTAAAATGTTGGGTGCTGAGTCTTAAATAGCAAAGATCACCTATAAATCACCAAATTTCCCGTGAATGCTTAGTGGGCAGATATTTTATGAAGTTTAAATGAACTTTTCTTTAAGCCACTTGTTTTTTCATAATTTATATTTTGTAGGTTGCATGTTGTAATTGTATGAACATGTCTTTAACAGGATAATAAGAACTCCAATTTACAGAATCCTTAAATTCCAAAGTCAGTTATATTAAATATAAAAATCTTAATTTAAAGCAGTCTTCTTTTACAAATAGAAAATAATCTAAATTAGCAGATTGTTTCCCCTTTATACAGTTATTCCTCAACATCACAGGTCTAATAATGGAATACACATGGAACCTAGGTGTGGGTTTGTTTTTTTAATGCTGGGCTGAAAGAGACCCAAAAGATAATCCAATTCCATTCCTGTATTTTACAGATGAGGTTAACTGATGACAATCATAATCCAGGCCTTGCCTTCAGATTTGCTAGGTTTTCTTTAACATGCTAAATTTAAATATCTCTGTTCCCTCTCAGCTGCTGTTTAATTTCCCCTGTCTACCTAGCTGATGGAAGCCATTGTTCTTGTGGCTAGCCATCAGTAAAGCTGAGGAATTTGCCTTACCTGGTTGAAGTACTGGCAAGCAGACTATGAGCTCCTTGCCAGTGCTTATCAGCACGCTCGGCACACCTGTACAAGGACTCAGTCAAGTAACTTGTCCATTGCAGACATTGAAAGTCTAAAGGTAATTTCCAGACATCCTTATGTGGTGCCATATTTTTAAATGGCACACCCCATAAACTTAAATAATCTAATTTCTTCCATGCCCACTGTGCTCCCTAAGGGACAGCTATTAGATGGCCAGGCCTGTTCCAAGCCCTGGACTTTCATCACTGTAAACAGCGGTCCAGAGCTTTTGGTATAAATGTGTAATCATATGACTGCACCAAAAAAAGCCAGAGTGGTATATATTCAAAATTTTAAAACATTTTAATGAATTATAAATCTTAATATAGCCATCCTTGCCATCCCCACAAAGAAACACATTTTTTTCTGTTAAAATACTTGACAGAGTCCTTGCAATTGAATGTCTTTGTTCAACAAAAACTGTATTAAGTGTTTTAAATTTAAAATCTAATTTTATGCAAATAGCTGGTGGTCAAAACCCTCTTTTTCCATCAAAAGAAGATCTTTGGTTTGACTTCATGTTCTGGGATGTTTGTAGGTACCTGGAATGGAAACACAAAAGTAGCCATAAAGACTCTCAAACCAGGCACAATGTCCCCCGAATCATTCCTTGAGGAAGCGCAGATCATGAAGAAGCTGAAGCACGACAAGCTGGTCCAGCTCTACGCAGTGGTGTCTGAGGAGCCCATCTACATCGTCACCGAGTATATGAATAAAGGTTGGGCAAAGCCTCTCCTCTCTCCAGCATATAGTGCCTTAAGGGGTTGTTTGAGGGAGAGAAATGGAGGCTTCCTACTTGCTTCTTTTCTAGTTTCTGCCTGGGTCAAGTATTCCCATTAGGAACCACCAGTTAATGCACTCATTAATGAAAACATTTTTAAAAACATACCAACCTTGAGTTTGCCCCGCCCCAAATCCTTGTGAAATGCCAAATGCCTTTTACATGTTATGTGTGTCAGAAATTCAAGCTCCTCTCCATAATTAAAACATTCATTTTTAATATCAGGTGGTACAGAGGGTTATGATAGTTTGCTGTTATTTTGAATGTAGTAGCTTTTGTTGCATTTCCTTTTGGCAGGGCTAAACAATTAATATCAGACACTGCTCTCTAAGCTAAGTTTAGTCTCCATCATTTGAACATCTTATTTTTTTCCAGCTCTCTTCTTAGTCAGATGATGAATTACATGCTTTCACAGACCACATTTATTCTCACATTCTCTCCCCCACAACCCCTCTGTCTTTCTAATCAAACCAGCATTGTTGGGGATAAGACCAGAGATCATTTTGTTTTGGAAAAATAGATGAACCAAACAAGAAACAGTCTTGAAAGGCAATACATTGTACATCAGAGGATACCAGTGTAATTTTTCTTTTCCATGTACTTTCTTTTAAAATATAATGGAAATTTTTTTTCTGGCAAACTGTTTTTTGTCCTTTGTATCCAGGGTTATTTTGTAAATAACTTTGTGATTAAAGCATAAAATATCACTGATGACCATCATAAGCCTCCACCTTCTGCAAATGATTATCCCTGCCTTGTTGTGTTATACTAGTGGCTCTGAAGCTTCCAATGTTTTGTTTCAGATGTCTGATTTAAGGCTTGGCTGGCTATGATCTAATTAAGGGGAACCATCTGCCCCGCCCATATTCTTCAGATTGTCTTTTCTTGATTCAAAATCTGTAAATAAGCTAAGCTACTGAGTCTCAGACTTTACCTTGTATTATTAGAATCACCTGTAGGGCTTCTTAAAACCCAAGTTTCTGGACCCAACCTTCAAAGTTTCTGATTTCCTTGATCTGGGATGGGACCTGAGAATTTGCGTATCTAACAAGTTCCCTTGTGTTGTTGTAGCTGCTAGTCCCAAGACCACAGCTTTGGACCACTCAGCTGGGCTGTATTTTCCCCACATCCATTCTTTGTGCAGGGGTGATTGGAGAATGGGATTGAAGAGGTGCGGTTCTTCATAGGTTCCTCTTTATGACATAAAGGGAGATTGAGTCCCATTTCTTCTAGTTTTATCAAATATATATTGTTATTCCTAGAAATGGAATTAACGCTGTTTGTTTTTAAAAGGTAAAACTGTTACTTCTCCATGCATATACTTTTTTCTACCCTGCTTTTTTATATAAATCTTCCCCCCCCCCATGGATGGCATTATTCCATTTGACTACCTTATTACTTTTAATAAGAAAACCAAATACAGCTCTCCATTGGGAATTTTCTTTCAAAGTAAATTGAAATGATTTTATGTTTTGTTCATAGGAAGTTTACTGGATTTCTTAAAAGATGGAGAAGGAAGAGCTCTGAAATTACCAAATCTTGTGGACATGGCAGCACAGGTAAGCCCTGCAGGGTAACTTGATGTGCCATAGGTTTAATGACGTGTAAGTACATTGGGTCATGGTGTAACATGTCCTGTTCCCTGGGTTTCCACAGGTGGCTGCAGGAATGGCTTACATCGAGCGCATGAATTATATCCATAGAGATCTGCGATCAGCAAACATTCTAGTGGGGAATGGACTCATATGCAAGATTGCTGATTTCGGATTGGCCCGATTGATCGAAGACAATGAGTACACAGCAAGACAAGGTGGGCACTTGAATGACAATGGCTCGTGATCACAGCCATGAGAACAGTCACTTACCGCATGGCCCTTCCTTCCTCCTTACCTTCCCTTCCTTCAGAAAATACCTGAAATGTCATTCGTCAGCTGGGTTTGGACTCCTTGATCTGGCAGGAATTTGACAGCTCTGCAGGTGGGAGACTGTTGTGGGCCGAGTGGAGGAATGAGATATTGGTTTTTGGTGGGTGGGTGGGTGGGTATTGGTATTTGCTGCTGTGGTCCTCTTGGCTCATGCTGGTCTCCTCACAGCATCTAGGCCTAGGATACTCTGGTTTTGGAGAAAGAAGGCTGGGGAAAGCCAAGGGATCGTCAAGTTTTAGTTCATTGTTCAATCAGTCTGTGTCCTAGCAGAAAGCAGAAGGCATGTTCAAATTAGAGAAGTTAAGAAATGAGTTTTTTACAAAAGTATAGGCAGGGTTTCAGAAAGCCAACAGAGCATGGTGCAGTATCTCGGAGCCTGTAACAGCAACAGAACCAAAGCCTCAAAGGCAAGGGGACAGAGAAGTGGGCACAAGAAGTCAGAATAGGCCACTGCACAGAGAGGGCCTCCTCAGTAGAGAGAGATGGCAGGAATGGATCTGGGGACTCATACCCAACCCCACTCTTTAGCCCACTTCCAGGTCTTCTACCAGACCCAACCAGAAGTACAGGTCACAGGAACTCAGGGATGAATCCTTATGGGTCCAGAGCAGGGAGAGGGAGAGTGGAGAGAGGAGTTAGAAAGACTATAGATGGTAACAGCATAGTTCCTCGAAAATCTCCACCTCCTTTCATCATCCCCTTCATCCCACCCTCTGCAAAAATTTCTATCAATTAGCCTTTAAGTGAAATATATCAATTCAGCAGCCATTCCAGTGAGGCGGCTTTTCGGGTGCTATTAGAGCACCAGATAGTAGAAAGGAGTTTTTAGGAATATTTTCTTTGTTTCTGGATACTTACAAAGTGGTCACCAGGTAAAATTGTGGGACTAAGTATGCAGTTTGCAATCGAATATAGGCTCCTCATGTAGAACATAATGTTTATAACTGGAGCAGGGGGGAACTTTCATTGTTGGTATTTTTAACCAAAGCCTAGTCATCCCAAGCAAAGCCGAGCAGTGACTGGAATGTATTACAGGGTGGTGCTTTCTACTGCATTTCATAATGGCCACCTCTGGAGTCCTTTTCTTTCTCTTTCTCTTTCTCTTTCTCCTCCTTCTCTTGCCCCTGTTCCTCCTCCTCTTGATTCTTTCATTTCATGCCAATTATCCTCTCCCTTCATTTGACTCTAAGAATGGAAGCATTCTTAGCAGTCTCAAGTGATGAGGAAAAATGTTAAACTAAGACCCTGGCTGCTACCGATACTGTCCAAATGCTGAATTACATGTCGGTCAGACAGCTCAGCTATTTGAATTTCCCCAACACGTGGCAGTTCTTGTCCTGGAGCCAAATGCCCACACAGCAAGCTTGCCCGTGTGTTATACACACACATACACCCCCGGTGCTGGGCCAGATGGCATGCTGTATCTCTAATCAAAGGCGCGCTGCAGCTTTGATTGGCACTGGCCGTCCAGAGAGGAATGTGCATGTGATTTTGAGGCGAGGGAGCCGAGAGGACCTGAGTGCCAGTGGATCTGAGACTTGCCCTGAATGAGGGACTTTATCCTGAGGCAAGTCTGTCAGATCCAGCTCCTTAGACTTGGAAGGAGAGTGGGCGAAGGTTGTGAGACATGAATATTTGATTAAGGAAAGGGCTAGAATAGAGCCGTGTGCTCACCCTTCTGTGTGTGAGTTGAGTTTTTCCCCTTTTCCTGGACTTTGGACTCTCTGGGGTTTGTGGTTAATGCTCATGAACCATGGGTAAATGAGAAGGTTGCCAGGCCAGGAGCCAGAGGACACAGGCAGGGGTGCTGTTAACAGTGTTAACAGGGCCTGGGGGTTTAGTCCACACCTTACTCACTGGAGTGAGGCTCCTCAGGCTGTGGCCCTGGGTGATTGGCACCCTCGCTGATTCCCCTCCCATCAGGCTGCTGCCCTCAGCCTGGCCCCGAACTGTTCCTCTGCATTAGCTGTCCTGATTGCCCTTCTGCCGGCTGCCCAGCTCCACCATCGTGTCCCCAGGTGCCATCAGAGCCCCTTTCAAAAGGCCAACCTTGTAGCCTTGGTACTGCATTTCCTTACTTAATTTCCAAATCTAGGGTCCCATCCTTCCTTCTTCAAACATTTTTCTTCTTTCCTCCCTTTTCCAAACACCTTCAAATCCATGCCAAACACTGGAAAGAAAGAAGGAAGAAGTAAGTGAACTGGAGAACTGAACTGGGCAGGGGGAAAGCGAAGCTTGCGGGGGGTCCCAGGATGTCCAAGGAGAATAAAAGAAATGCTGTCCTGCAGCAGAGGGGTAGGAAGTGGCAGAGCCATTTATCAAATACCTTCCAGGTACCAGGCCGGAGGGGAAACGTGAGGACCAGACAGGGCAACAATAGGAATAGACTCAGAGGGGTTAACTAACTTCTACAAAGTCACACAGCTAGTAAAAGAGCAGAGCCAGGATTTGAATCCAGATATGGCTGGCCCTGTTGCATCTACCATCCTAAGTTATGCTGCCTGCTGCTCATCAAGTCGGTGTTAAAAACAACTGAAAATCAAGCTGGAGAGGATTAGCCATGCATCCCCTTTCCCCTGTATTTTATGGGGCTGTTTTTAAGGAGCACCTTCTAGTGTGCCTGTGTGAGGGAGTTGGAGAGACCTTCCTTTTCCAGCACGGGGACAACCCAGCTGTTTATCACATTCCTCCCGAGGGCCCACCCTGCCCCGGCCGCTTTACGAGGCAGAAAGGGCCTGGTGTGTATCTGCTGGTGTACTCTGCAGATGGCATGTGTGCTGCGTGCTGAAGTTTCTGCGGGGAATTAATCAGCTCCTCCAGACAGCTGGTCCGCGTGCCTAATAATATTTGCAAGTCGGGTTTTATGTTACCCACAGGCCACAGCCATGCTGCATCTTGATTATGAGAATGCAGGCGGCATTCGGAAACATGCGCCAAACACAGATATTTTAGGACCATGAATGACAGTTGTTTTCAAAACAGTTGTGAGTTTCCCATCTCAGGGAGCACTGAAATATCTGTCACCCCTTGGGCAGATGAGGTGGCATTGCATAGGGCACACGCAGAATTGGAGTGTGGAGCCGGGTTCCACAGTCCTTCCTGTGCTCCTTGCTTCCCACCGCCCCAGCTACCCAGGACTGAGCAGCAGCCCATGTCAGGGAGGAGGTCAAGGCCAGGCCCTGAGCCTGTGAGGATGGCCTTCCACTGACAGCACTCTAGAAGCAACTAGAAATTTGGAGAGATTGCTTATTCTCTATTACCTGGACATCTCACTCAGTTACAGCAGATGGTTTTTCTTTAGTTATAAACACTTTGCTAAATTCTGCCCAATCAGAGTCTCTAAATAATGCCAACATCAGTTATTTGAGTGCCTTGTCAATGAAAGGGACCTTATTAGGAGCTACCGATATCAAGAAGCCTAAGACTGCACAGGACAGTCAGCAAGCATGAGGAGGAACACGTGGGGCATTGTTGAAATCAGATGGAACCAGGTTTGATATCCAGCTGTACCACCTGACGATCTGGGGCCTTAGGCAAGTTATTTAACTTTTGCATACCTCAGTTTACTCATCTGTAAAATGGAAAGACATTTTGTCTGCTGTGTGCATTTTTGCAAAGATTAAGTGAAACAATGCATGTAAAGTGCTTAACAGGGTACCCAGCACATAGTGATAAATGTTGCTTGTTACTATTGGTATATCTGGTACAACACTAAGTTCTTGGGGAATAAACAAATGAGTGAATGGATTGTAGATACAATGGAAAGTCTGAAACACTATTCAGGAAAGGGAGAGAAAAATCAAAGATAATTCCCAAGTAGTCAAATGCAGGTGATCATGAGAATGGCATTACCAATAACAGAAATGAGTGACTTGGGAAGATCTTACCTTCAAGAAAGAGGATACATTTGGGTTTTTATCTATTAAGCTTGAGATGGTTGTGGTGGTCCTCCAAGCCCAGACAAATGAGCTGGGGTGCCCTCACTGGGTCTCACTGCCACAGCTGGGCCCTCAGCCTTCCAGCCATCCCCTAAGGTCTAGTCACGGCTGCCTCCCTACCCTAGCACCGCATCTTCCTCCCGGAATCATTCCAGAGCTCACCACAGGCACCACAAGGAGCTACTGTCCATCTTCTTGTCCGTACACTTCCATACCACACCTGTCTCCTGTGACCCCCGACATAGGCGGATGTCACAAGCCTTGCTTCTGGAAGTTCACAGCCCCTCCGGCCATCACTTCCTTCAGAGATCACACAAGCAGATGAGAAGCAGTGGGAAAATTCTCTGCAGACTCTAGTTTTTTCTTCATGAGCTTTCAGTGCCAACTAATGTTGATTTAAACCTAACAAGTTCAGACAGACGTGGCTGTGTGTAAGCATAACTTCCTTTTGTGGATACCTTTTTATTCTTTATTGAGCTGTAACAGACATACAGTAAAATGAACAAATCTGAAGTGTGCAGCCCGATGAATTTTTACATACACGTATGCCCCTGAATCCACCCCGAAGATAAAGAGACAGAATACTTCCAGCACCCCAGAAGACCTCTTATTCCCACTCCCAGTCAGTAACCACCCCCACAAATAGCCTTTTTTCCACTCTTTTCACCATAGATTGGTAAGTTTTGCCTGTAAATGAACATCACAGACATGAATCTTATAGTATTACTCTTGTGTCCGGTTTTCTTTCCCATTCTTATGTCTGTGAGATTCTTCCATATTGCTGCATGGAACAGTAGCTCTCTTCGTGGCTGGGTAGTATTCCGCTGTACAATACATCACAGAGCCTCCATTCTACTGTTGCTGAACATGTGGGGTCATTTCCAAACTGGAACTATTGTAAATAAGGGTGCTGTGGTGGTACACACATGTCCTCGTCTCTCTGGGCT